TACTCACACTGGTACCCACAGACACACCGACCGACACACTGACCGACACACAACCCAGACACCCAAACGATCAACTTTGTCTTTCGTTCTTTAAGTTTGAAACACTTTACCGACCAGCCACGCCCTTAGGTCAGTCCCTGTCCAGCCCCAGCTCCAACACACGACAAATCAACTGGCAATCAATGGCCATTGGTGCCACTCTTGTGCCTTCGTAGTATCCAATAAATTGCAAGACATTCCACTTTTACCGTAACCGTAACCGTTACCTTTACCGGTACCGTTACCCAACGGCGAACGGAAATTCCTGCCCCTGCCTCCTGCCTCCTGCGCTCAAGTACCGATAAACAGTGTCGGGCCAGGGCTGCCACACCCCCTATTTCGTGTGTCTGTGCTCCACACTTCAATTTAGACGCTGAACAAAAAATGTATATGTGCATAAGGATGGCTACTTGCAGATCTATCCTTCCTCAGAACCCACATACGATATATTATGATAAGTCCATGGCTTTCAACTACTTCGCATAGATCGTGTTCCTATATATGTAGACTTGATTGACTGTGATCATCATCCTATCTTGATGGCTCCAAAGGTTCTATGACGATTGAGGCAGTATTTCATTCGCCCCAGCTTTCCAGCAGAGAAATTAGCGTGCTTCTCTTGGGAGCCCTCGACCCCACTTTCGTGCATCAAATCGAGTCTGGGCGGCAGATTTTTTTTAGTCGTTTGAATGCCACAGACTTACAGTATATGGTAGCAAAGCTGCACATCTCCTGGCACCCGGACGCATACTCCAGCAAAAGCTAAAGTTATATCGAAGGTATATGGTACGTATGCAGGTGTGTGCATCGTGAGAGGGTCGCTGGAGAGAGCAGACTTCTTTGAGTTTGCATATCTTTGCCTGGCCAATTTGAATATTGTAACAAGAAAGAAAAAACCCCCTAAAATAAGGATAAAAGGGAGGGAAAACCCTAACAAACTGCAGTACAACGAAGCATTGATACGCTGCAAAGGGAATCGCTGGTGGATAGAATGCCTGGATGATTCTGGATTCCCAATTCGATGGAAAATTTCCAACAAAACGTCGAAAAGCATAATAGTCATTAGCCTATACTCGCAAGATTCCCATTGACTCTTAAAATAAGTTTAACTTGCCAGGAAGAATATCTTTACATTTCTCCCAAAGGTATCCAAGGCACACGAATGCCATTGGACCATGGGGAATTCGACGAAAAATGTTACGGAAAAATGGCCATTTGATTGGGTGTTGTTAGAACACATAATCACATCCTTCCTAATGCTATTCCCTATGGAGATATCCCGCTCTGAATAATGCCAAAGCTGGGCAAGGAATTCGCTGATAAATTTCCAAGAAAGTCCCAAAATCCTTGGGTAATTGCTAGGAAAAATGATACCCTTTCTCCAATGTACACAAAAAACCCACACATGCAAAGAAGCCCATTGTACGGGCAATTCTATTCTCCACTGGAATTTTGGTATGAGTGTGGGTCCGTTGAATACCACACACACACACACACACACTTACACACATACATCTCTTTCGAGACGCCACACAATCGCCTTATTTATCATACATCAATGTAAGAGTACTCGTCCAGGCACCTTGGCCTTTGATAGTGCCATCTGAACGGAGGTAAAAAGCGGAGCAAGCTCGGAATTGTAGCAGAAATTTCTAGTCCTAACCCTGCGGCCCAAAAGAGGCCTAAAGAGAGGCAAGAATTTTCTACCAATTGCCTTTGCTTTGTGTCGGACATCTGCCAAGCAATTTTCGGCTTAATTTGTCAAAGAATATTTGCGTGAAGTTTTCAATATCCCAGCTATGGGAGGTCACGGCGGTTACAGGAACTGGCAGCAAAGAGATTTTGTTCAAGGAATTTCCGCCCTGTCTAACATTTACGCTTTGGGATTAATTGACACAACACATCCCTGGTGTAAGAGGCGGCGGACTTGCACAGGAGCAGGCGATGCCGTCAACAGGTGCCGCAATGCACAAAAGTAAAATTCCACACTGAATATGTTTGCAGTGACGAAGCTCAGATACCCATGCCCCACATTTTGTATACTACTAGTTTCCTTTCTCTTCCTGAAACACTTTACATACCTTTCCTTTTGCGTAATTACTAGAAATATTTTGGTACTTAATTCGAGTTTCGATATCTATGAAAACACTGCCAGGAAAATCACAAAAATCAAACATACGGTCTTTAAGATATAAGCCAAAAAAAGACCAGACGTTACGTCACCAAAAACAGAAGTGGTTTTTAAGGTTGAGGTAGAAATTTTCATATATATATACGAAATATTCAGTGTTCAGTTCTTCGATTAATATGAAGCTCAATTAAACCATTTTCATTGCTCCATCTGCGGATTTCTTATAGGAAAATTTTACTTCGTTCCTTGACTTGTGAAGTTTTTTCTGTGATCAAAACGAGCATACCCTCTGCCAGGGTATCACTACGTGTAGAACCAGACCCAAAAGAAAAGCCAATAAAATTGAGCACTAAATTAAATGCAAATAAAATATAAACATTTTTAGGGATATATTTTGACAGCGAATCAAAATTAATCCCTCTCTCTGTGCGTGTGTGTAAACGGGACGTTGATATCTGAGACCATTGGCACCCGTCATTACTAGGGCGAAAAATAATAATGCATTGGGAGCATAATGATGTGCTTGTACAAATGGCAACATAATTAATTTGTATTATTTATTGAATCACATGTCCGACGCTTCAAATGAAAATGGATTTTAATTGAATGCATATGAAGGGGATGAAAACCTTCAGCCCTGCCCTGCCCGGCCTGTCCGGGCCGGGACTAAGTTGTTTCGAATTTCCATGTGCAAATATTTAACTCAATTATTAGCTCAATGAGCAGTGATATCACTGATTTAAATATTTATCCAGAATATATTTACACATTTGTGCATGAATTGTATTTTCACAGCCAATAAATACGACAAATAAAGTCATTCTCACATCATCATCGGGATGAGTGCCATAAATATACTCGTATATACGAGTATATACATATATATATATTTATTTTAAACTAATTAAGACAGTCATAAAATGGTCACCAAATATCTACACACCAGTGCCGACAATAAAGCATTTTTTAATGTCAAACAAGTGTTTGTACGACCGCCCATTCGGCTGTTTCAGCGACTATTAACATATCCATAAATATTTTGAATGTATCACAATTAGGCTGTTCTCTGTTGGATAATCGTAAATCATTCAAAAGTCAGTTTTGCAATGCAGAGATTCGGTCGTTTTGGTGGACAGCTTCCTGGGCTCTGGGCTCTGGGTCCTGCCTCCTGCGTCCTGGGTCCTGGGAAATCTCTAAGCTCTTATGTACATACACAAGCTTCGTTTCTGGGTATTGGTTTGGATAATTGCAACGGAATGCAGCTGTTTGGGCTGCCTTCTGGCTATTTTTGATAGGACCTATGAGCAACACTGTAACACACACACACACACACACACACACACACAGCTCTGTCTGGCGACACCATGTCGCCTTGGACCATGCCATTCGTGTGTGTCTGTCCGTCCCCTGGCTGTCATTCCGTCGCCTCGTGTTTGTTTGCCCTGGCTTTGTGGCTCGCTTCTGCTGCTGCTGCTGCCTCTCGTTTTTCCCTAAAAATATTGTTCAAGCTTATATTTGATATGCTTGGCGCACACATTTGTGTGAATATAATTCAAATTAATTTCAATTTGCCGTAAATGATTTTACGCATGTAATTTATGCAGCATTTAATTGGAAAACTTTAACCGCAAACTAACCGTAAGGCTAACATATCATCAAATTTACATCCGTTCTATTTACGATCCAGAATACATACGTACGTACGTGTTCAATTAGTGAATATATTGTTAATAGACCGATGCAGCACCTGCATAGATCATGTGGTTTCATTAGATCATCGACAGATCTGGCACTCTCTGGGGATGGCCTAACATCACAAATTCAAAACTTCGTTCAATGAATCGCTCTTTTAAATGGAGGGAAGTTCCCATGGAACCGCAGAGATTTAAAACTGGTTAAATTCCTAACTTATTAATTGCCAAGAAAACCCTTATTCCTATGTACGAGTATTCTCTGTATCACAAACACCCACGCAGTGTTGGTCGCCCCCCTACTGGCCTCCTGTCACTATCAATGTTACGGGTATTTCGCTCAATTTCCCTCCCTCTGTCGCCCTCTTGCAAAGCCGCCAAAAGTGCAAGTTTGAGCCGTAGTCAATGTCACAACTTAAAGAGGATATAGGGCTAGTCGTACCTACAAAAAGCCACATTCAACTATACTCTTGTGTGAAGTCCATAAATACGTAAGTCAGAACCTGTCAATGCGCTTTCGCTGGCATTTCTGATGAATAATTGAGACATTTTGTGGAACCAAGAACCTTTGGAACAGCCAATCCCCAGCCGCCTACGGGCGCCTATGAGGGAGTTATGGAGTTATGGAAACCGCATTCGTCAAAGCCAAATCGCAGCCAGTAGAAATGTTTTGTCAGTAGAGAGCTCAAGGGCCCCACATGGCCACAATGGTGCTTACACTTGCCACTTGATTTGTGAGGCTGTCTTTGATGTTTTCGGTGATTGTTCTCGTGTGTGACTGTCCCGTAATGGAAATCCTTTTGTCAAATTAAATTCTGGCAAATTAATTCTGTTGCAGCCGAATGTGTTGTCCGGGCCAGTCGAAGCCCCCGAAAAGAGAAGCAAGAGCAGGATCTGGGGGGGGACCAGGACCACCTGGGTGAACGGCCGGCTAAATATTTCAGCAAGCCCATACTGGTGACCCCATGCAGGTGTCTGCAATTACCTGGAACTCAATTAAGTAATTATTAAGGGTCTCGCACCCGGAACCCTCCCTCATAAGAATTTTATGCCCACCCAGACCCAGACGGAGACCCGGACCCAGACCTGGCCGTCTATAAAAGCCTCGGCCGAGCAGAGCTTGGCCCCAAAGCATCGTCATGTTGTGGGGCAAGCGGAAGGAGAAACGAGAGCTGCGCACCTTCGAGGATCTCACCCGATTCCCGATGGCCTTCTACAAGACGATCGGCGAAGATCTGTACTCGGATCGGGACAAGAACCTCGTCCGCCGGTATCTCCTGCGCTTCTATCTGGTAATGGGCTTTCTCAACTTCAACGCGTATGTGGTGGGCGAGATAGCCTACTTCATAGTGCACATCACGTCGACGACCACGTTGCTGGAGGCCACCGCAGTGGCACCGTGCATCGGCTTCAGCTTCATGGCCGATTTCAAGCAGTTCGGGCTGACTGTGAATCGGGGGCGCCTCGTCCAGCTGCTAGACGATCTCAAGGCGTTATTTCCCACCACCCTGGAGACGCAGCGGGCGTACAACGTGTCCTACTACCAGCGGCACATGAACCAGGTGATGACCTTGTTTACGATCCTGTGCATGACCTACACCTCGTCGTTCAGCTTCTATCCGGCCATCAAGGCCACAATAAAGTACTACTTTCTTGGCTCTGAGATCTTTGAGCGGAACTACGGATTTCACATTCTATTTCCCTACGATGCGGAGACGGATCTGACCGTTTACTGGTTCTCCTATTGGGGCCTGGCCCATTGCGCCTATGTGGCCGGGGTGTCCTATGTCTGTGTGGATCTGCTCCTGATCACGACCATCACCCAGCTGACGATGCACTTCAGCTATATGGCCGACACTCTGGAGGCCTACGACGGCGACGAGCACACGGACGAGGAGAACATCAAGTACCTGCACAATCTGGTGGTCTACCATTCAAGGGCCTTAGAGTGGGTTTCGTTCAGCTCCTCAGAGCCATGGCTAACTGGAACTCTTCTTTTGCAGTCTCAGCGAGGAGGTGAACAGCATCTTCAGCTTCACCATCCTGTGGAACTTCATTGCGGCGTCTCTGGTGATTTGCTTTGCTGGGTTCCAGATCACGGCCTCCAATGTGGAGGATATAGTGCTCTACTTCATCTTCTTCTCGGCCTCTCTGGTTCAGGTCTTTGTCGTCTGCTACTATGGCGATGAAATGATCTCTTCGGTGAGCTAATCTAACATTTCTAACGATTCGTTTCGGCATTGATGGGTGCCTTGGGCTTACAGAGTTCCCGGATTGGTCATGCCGCCTTCAATCAGAACTGGTTGCCCTGCAGCACCCAGTACAAGATGATCCTTAAGTACATCATCATGCGCAGCCAGAAGCCCGCCTCCATACGACCACCGACCTTTCCGCCCATATCGTTCAACACCTTCATGAAGGTCATCAGCATGTCGTATCAGTTCTTTGCTCTTCTGCGCACAACTTACTACGGCTGAGGGTGCATCGCCACATATTAAGGGAAAATTGCATAGAAGATTGAAGGAAACATAAACATATAACAAAAGACACATTTTTTTGGTAGTGCTAGAAACCATCTAGAGTTTATTCAGACTTAGAACGCTTCGCACTGGAGTTTCTCTTATTATACTAACATATCTTATATATGCTGTTGAAAAATCCAAATCCTCGCGTTGAATAGGACTCTCAAATCAAAAGTGAATCGTAAAAAGGAAAATAATTAGTAATTAAAAGATTGTTGAATGTATATTAATAATAAATTTATTGAAAAAGGCTAATTTTTGTGGATTCCCCTTGAGCAAGGAAGTGAATGAATGAAATTACCAAGAAGCAAAATTGCATAGTGTGTGTGTTTCTATTCGATTGGAAGTTGTACGTCTGTCGGTACACATATGTATGTATCTTCACATGTTGTATCTAGGAGTAGTATCTAGGAGTATCTATGCATATTGTGGGTGTTATTTTTTCAATAAGTGAAATTCCAAATGAAAGTATTCACTCCTACTCTCTCGCATTAACATTTTAAAGAGTTGAACGGAGCGGAATAAACCGTTGCATACACACACACACACGGACAGATATACACCTGGGGGGCACTTGTCATGGCCGATGTCTGTTGTTGTAATTTTTAATTGCTTATCAGCAATTTATATACATAAATATATTTACACCCAGCTGCCCCAACACACCGGGACACCGGGACTCCCGGACATCTGGACGCGTATGCACAGAAACATGTCTCTGTAAAAATAAATCAATAAATGTCAAAAGCAATCAAAGCCCATTAAATGTCTGATTGTCTTCCCGCCTCCAGAGAGAGATACGGCGATATATGGTGGAGAAAGGAGTGTGATAATTCGGACCATTTGATACCAGAGCAGGCCCGTTTATTGATGTTTAATAGCCTGTGGACGGGGCATGCCAATAAGGCCAGGAGCTTGGCACTGGGTCAGAAATCTGAGATCTCCCTTATACTCGAGTATACGAGTACGTTATTCGGGTCAAAAATGTGGGGATACAATTTTGATTTCAGTAAGAACAAAATAGAACATACAAATATCTTTGACTTAAAAAGTTCAAGATTCATGAAAGAACAGCGAGCTTCCTGAATCCTTTGAAACCCAGGGATTTGAGAAAGCCAGTGCGATATCTTTCCCGCTTCTCGGGCGTAAATTAACTTCGGGTTTTTCTTTTTAAATTTTCGCACTTGTCCCTGATAGTTTTCCAATTTATGCAGTACATTTTTCGGAAAGTCGATGTGCATCCTGTTATTCATTTTCGTTTCTGTTGTTAGCCGGCTTCGAGAAGCCGAATTGTTTCTTCAACTAGTTTATCTGACCGTCAAGTTTTTCGGAACGGCAACTTAACTTGAAGTCGAGAGACTGGCCCCAAGTACTGCATTTGATATATCGTATGCGATATATGTAATTGGTGAGCGTTTGATTCCAAATTATTACTATGTACAATGTACATAGATGTGGTGTATTTGTGAATCAGGAACTTAAAGGAACAAATTATTATTAATGTTTTATGTACATCCTTATAACTGTATTTTCTCTCGATGTATGGTGTGGGTTTATCTCTGTCTATTTGTAGAGTGATTTCATTTGCGACTTTGTGAATCCGTGCTTATTTGATGTTTATTTTTTGTGCTGTGGTTTACTTATTGTTTATAATCAGCTCCAGCGAATGGCACTGCCCCGAGCCTGTTTATTGATTGAGAGAATGATGGCACTTCTGTTTGCTCCCCCAAAATCAACATCGACTATTATAAACCAGACCAGAATCAACACCAACTGATTTAATGTCCTTGACAGCTATACAAATGTACATACGTACATGTCGCTCATATGGAAAGATACACTTGCACTCGCACATGTGAACCCATGCATCCGCAAACCGTAAAGCACAAGCTTTATCGGCTTAATATGGACATAAAGTAGTTTCCTCGATATAACAAGATGTAACAAAGTTCTTAAATTATGCGATGAATCAAGTACTTTATGCTACACCGGCGTTACCCAACGACCCAATCTGATAGTTGTGGGGCTTTAAGCATTTTGAATGAATTATGGCTTTCTTTTGGGGTTTCGTTGTATCATAGTTACGTAAGTGGTTCTAATGAACTATGCAATTCTGGAAAGCTGATAAATGCAACAATAAGTTGGACCTGAACACTTTGAAGCTCCAGCTTACCGGCTGGGCAGTATTAAGCTTTCAAATGCCTTGTTCAAAATTACCTGTCAGCTGCAGAGACTATGCACAATATGTACAATTTTAAGTGAATGACTTACAGAACTATTTTCCTTTTGTCCATTTAGATCATCAATGGCCGAAACACGCTCTAATTTGAAAAGGAATTTTGTCAATTTAATTCAGTCTTGCAGGGGTGTCTTTTGAGAAAATATTCTGAGGAATAATAGTTTTAGCTGCATAAAATCAAATGGAAAAACATACTGATGAAAGAAGTCGATTTTAGCTATGGGCTATCTAGGTGGAAAGCGCCAAGAAGCTGGCATGAAGAAAAAACGAGGACTTAAGCAAATATTAGTTGTGGGAAACTAAGTGAAATATTGAAAATATTATACCATGTATGCCCTTACGAAGGATGTGTGTGTGCAAAGAAAAGAAGGATGCAGGATATTCATCCAAATAAGAGTTATACATATTTTGAGAGAGTTTATAGATTATACTTCAGTGATGGCCACTCCGATTATTATAATATATTTATTCATTTATGCACATACATATATGTTTATGTAGTTGGAACCACACCCTATGTGGTGTGGCCAGTGCTTTGGTCTGAGAAGACTTATAGTCGGATTACCCAACATTTGGGCCATTAACTGTGCCTCAACCTTTCATTGAGTCAAACCTGTTCAAAGTGGCATATTGTTTTTGCACAAATATATTTATTTCACTAGTAATTGATGTAATGAAATATTTTAGTGAATATTGTCTTTGCTGAAATTTATCTTGCGAAAAATTGCAAATTGCAAACAAATTTACATACATAACATGTATACGTATTTACATATCTACAAATTCTTCTTTAGTTGTTCTTTAGTTTTAATAACAAATATTATTTCGCACCAATTATGGGAAAACAGAAGCAACAGAAAATGAATCCATCCACCATGTCCTCGTATGTCATGGTCCAAATAAATTCCTTAAAGGGGCAAAACGCTCGGAGTGTGCATTGTAGGGAGGACAAAAGAGAGCCCTACTCGAAAAACGAACCAAACAATTTTTACATTGTGTCTATACCCTAATAAAAGGTATTGTGTTGAAGGCACCTCCTCTACAGTATCTCTTTATTTATTTATAAAATTGTAGGCTACGTTAAAACTTATAGTTATAGCCAGAGCAACAAGTATTTTCAAATATATGTGCGTATATATACGCGTAAGAATATATTCAATAGTCGCATTGATATATTCCATGTTCTTCTGTGCTACTCAGCTATTCGGCTGTTGAATGGATTATTGTTTTTGCAGAAGGTTCACTAGAAACAAATTGATTCTTTCACCTCTAATTGGTAAGGGAAAATATTCATAGTTTGTGCTCAAATTTAGCCTGCGACAAATTGTTTCCTTCCTTGGACGAGTGACTCGTAATTGGTGCGAGCAAATATTCCTCTTTATTAAAATCTAAGGAATTTTCTGAGATGTTCATTGGATGCTGAAATAAAAGTCTCTCAGTCTGACAATGTTACACTTTGAATCCACACATCTCCCCTGATGCACATCTCAGCTAAAGCGAAAGGTTGGGTCTCTCTCATTGTAACTGGTTGCTAGGAAAAGCTATCTTGGCCCTTGAATATGGCTGTGGCGACCACTTAAAAGATTGCCAGCTAGTTGTTGGCTCTTTGGTGGTTGGAAACTTGCTGCATGACATTCCCTTGCACACATACGAGTGGAGCTGGAGCTGGAGCTGGGGCTCCCAAATGTGCCACTAATTTGTGGGCATGTGAAAATGTTTCTTACGCTTCGCTTTTTATGACCAGCTTCACGGACAGTCAGTGCGGATGAGTGGCAGTGGTCGCTGCTGCGCGGCAGCTAAGGTGAGAATGTCTGTTGCTGGAGGGCTGTCTCCCGGAAGGAGCACGTACCAGCTGGCAGTTATTAACAATTTGGTTGGCTGGTTTCGCCCAGTGTTTGGCGCTTTTTTAGAGGCAACTTCGTTGGAGCAACAAAGTTACTGTTACTGTTACTCTTCCGAACACTGACGCTGGCCAGAATGCAGCCCTGCGAGCACATGGTTGCCTGAGCTACCAAATTGACAATTATCTGCCAGCGGTTGGGTGAGCGCCGTGATCTGAAAACGAGTGCACGCTACCAATTGCTTCCAAGTACAATGTACAATACATACATATATCTGTGTGGCTCGCGACGATATAGTTATTCCAATCGAAAAAGAACAGCCCCTCTGGGTTATATCAAACGTATATAGGTTTCTTAAGGAATACGAGTATGTGCACGCAAAAAACAAAACCCTGAGAACCGAATTGGACTAAAATATTTCTGCAATTATATTGGCACCGAGAGTGAAAATATATTAAAATGGATTTATTTTCATTATATTTTTTTGTCTGTTTGCTCCATTTATATTTAAATCAAATCTGTAAGTCTGTATTTAGGTTAGGTTAGGCTATAGCGGTAGCTGGGGAGAGGGGATGAGCCTTCCCCAGCTCACTTGGACCTGTTAGAGGTCCTGTTTAGAGGACCTATTTTGCCGAGGGGGTGTGTGCCACCTCTCACTGCCGTCCCATCCGGTGGCTTGGATGAATTTGGACAGGATCCCTAATTTGGTTTCGGAATGGTCCGAAGTGTCCGTGAAGCCAAAGTCGACGATTTCCCAGGGCCGGGCAATGACAGAAGAAGTGGGGGACAGATTCCTCCCTTTCCTCGTCACGACAACTTCTGCAGAAGTCATTGTGAGGGATTGGCAGCCAGGAGGAGTGTGTGCCAGTGTCCCCTGATGGCTCGAGTAACTACAGAGCACTGGGCCCTTCGATTGATATGGCCATATCGATCCCGAGACCTGTCATCTCCTGTTTGCATTTTGCTCGAATATTTCGTGCG